CTGCTGGGCTGCCTCAGCTCCTTGTCCAGCCCTGAGCCCCACCTCTGCCTGACTCCCTACCTGTAGAGCCAGGAGAAATGGGAAGCTGGGGTCCTCCTTACTAGGTGGGGTCCAGGCCCACTGATGCCGTGTCTTAAAAACAGGAATCTGGGGACCAGCAGTTGGCGTAATGGCTATGTCGCTGGACTCCCATTTAGTTGACCTTGGTTCGCATCCCAGACCTGGTGGCTTAAAACTCACGCTGGGCGCGTGTGCATGCGTGCCCACGATCCTGAGAGGAGAATGGAGAAGGGATTGCGGCGTGGCCATCCCCCCTGGGGGGTAATTGCTCGCTTTCTGTCTCTGTCTTTCTGTCAAGCGCACATGCCCTATAGCAAAAACTTCTCAAAGAAAAACAAAACAGGAATGTTCTGCTTCTGTGGCCTTGCTGTGCCCCAAAACCTTGAGGGAGGGAGGAGCTGAGCATCTAGGTTTACCAGTGCCCATGTCTCCCTTGGCCCCTGATAACCAGCTTTGGAGGTGGGGAGTGGGCTACTTGTGTGTGGAGCGGGGAGAACACTGGGGACTCCACCAGTCCTGGCCTGAGAGAAGAGAGGAGTCTGCAGGTGCCAGCTCTGGGCAGCCAGCTGGCAGGATGTGGACTCTGGCAGTTGCTGCAGTTGCCTGTTCCTGCCTCACAGCACCCACAAAACAAGTCCTAACACCTCTAAGGTGGCCCCGGGGGACTGGCGTTTCTGGTCCAGTTTCCACCAGTATGCTACGGCCCAAAGCGTGTGTGTTTGTGTGCGTGTGCACATGCGTGTAGAGGACAGCAGGCTTCTCCATGTGAGGGGTCAGCAGCTCAAGGGAAGAGGAACTGGAAGGCCACGTGGTTGGGCTAAGGGGAGCTGATGGCAAAGTCAATGAGAGCCTGGTCCCTGCCTCCCAGCACAGGGCTCCTCCTGCCTTTCCATGCATCAGTCATTCCGTCCTGTGTGTACCCATTGACCGAACCTCGAGCACCTCCTACGTGCTAAGTGCAAGTCTGAGTGGGAGTCATAGACAGCCTCAGTACAGCGCAGTGAGCTCTCTGCTGTGAGACACTCTGGGTTCTGTGGGAACCTGGAAGAAGGTCACTCCCTTCACCTAGAAGGTCAGGAGAGGCTTCCTGGAGGAGGTGAGGCTTGAGCAGAGCCTTGAAGCATCGTTAGGAGTTAACCTGGGCAGGTAAGTGGGGGACATATTTGAGGCAGAGGAAGCTGAGAACATGCGAGACATGTTATTGGCATCTCACTAGCTAAGGGCTCTCCAGGTGTAACCAGAGAGGGGCTGGCTGGAGCAGAGCACTGTGGGCTTCCAGGTCCATTAAGGAATTGGATTTTGTCCTGAAGCTGGTGTGCAAAGAGCTTAGGGTTGTGGGGACCAGTGGGTGGTGTAGTGGTTAAGGTGCTGGACTCCCATATGACCAACTGTGGTTCAAGTCCCGGACCTGGTGGTTTGAAACTCATGCCAGGTGCGAGTGCATGTGTGCCCAAAATCCTGAGAGGAGAATGGAGGGGAAGGGATTGTGGTGTGATTTCTCGCTCTCTGGCGAGTGCACTCACCCTATAGCAAAAATCTCTCTCTAAAAAGAAAAAAGAATCCCAGAGTCATTGGAGAGCAAATGGAGATGCTAGTGAGAGACAGGGCAGCATGTGGGGCATGCCAACTGCACGTGAGGAATAACGGACTGGAGGCTGAAATGGCAAGTCCAACTTTGCACAAGTGGGTTTAGGTGCCTGTGAGATCTTCAAGAGGAGAGAAGGACTGGCCCCATGATCCAGTGGTTATGAGAGCCAGCTCCCTCATGGATGGCCACATGGTTTGAGTCCTGGCCCCAGAGGATTGAGAAACATGTAGAGTACATGTGTATGCATGCCCCAAATCCCAACAAGATGGAGAAATGGAGGAGAAGTGAAGGATGCTTTCTCCCTCTGTCTCTCTTTCTCTGGTGAATGTGCACAGCCTCTAACAAACTTTTAAAAAATAAATGATAAGAGGAAATGAGCAGGAGATAGCTCAGTGCATGGTCTAGTCCTCCATAGAGAGGCGTGGGGCGGAGTCTGATCAGTTAGGTCAAGGGCAGAGATTATTAACTTCAGTTTGAAGACAAAGCTCAGAGAGGTTGAGCTACTTATTCACAGTTACACAGCCATGGAGCTCAGACTTGAATGCAGATAAACAGGTTTCTGGTACTGTGGCGCCTTTAACCTCCAATCCTGTGCTAATTCCTCTGCCCTAGGATACACCAGCTTCTGCTAGGGTTGGGGCAGACAGAAGCAGGTATCTAGAGAGAATTCTGGGTGGTATGGTGGTTAAGGCACTGGACTCCCACATGGCCGACTAAGGTTCAAGTCCTAGACCTAGCAGCTTGACAATCACAGCCAAGATCCCAGGAGGAGAACAGAGGAGAAGGGATTGTGGCATGGCCATATCCCCTGGGGGGAGGTTTCTCACTTTCACTCTCTCTGCCCCTCTCCTGCAAGCACATGCCCTATGGCAAAAACCTAATAAAAAATACATAAATAAAAAGTTAAAGGTGTTTCTGTCTTCTCACCATGTGCTGTCTGCCTGAAATTGCATTGGCCCCTAACTTGCAGGCAAGGGCATTTCTGACTGGCGTAAAAATACTGACACAGAGAGAGAGTCTTGTTTTCTGTAACCACAAGTCCTCACCCAACTCTACCTGCACAACTAGTAAGTTGGTGATTGTGAAAATGTGAAGATTTCAACTACTGTGAAACCAGCTGGGACAGGTCTGGGTTGGCCTTGTGACCATAGCCGCCTCAGGACTCAAGAACAGAGGTGGTGGGGCCCCCTTCTACCTGTACCCGTCTTCTCCCTCTTCGCATCAAGTTCTGCCTTTTGGTTTCTACTGTTCTAAAATAGAGTGAGGAGTCTGGTGGTGGCACAGTGGGGATGCAGATAGACCCACGTGGGCAAGGTCTTGCGTTTGTATTCTGGGATTGCCCTGAGCATGCTAGGCATGTGTGTGTCCATGATCTAGGCTGGCTGACCCAGTGGGTGGATCGTGGCATGGAGACCCTGTTGGAGTCTCCATGTTGGGGTGCCATCTCTGTCTCTCTGTTATTCTGAAGAAATAGATAAGTACACTTATGAAAGTAAAAGAAAGTTGCTGAGGGGCTGGCTGGGGGTATGGGGGTAAGGTGTTGGACTATCACATGGCTGACCACAGTTTGAATCCTGGACCTGGTAACTTGCTTTCTCACTTTCCCTCTCTTTCTGTCTCATG